CCTGGGGCGCCGGCCGCGGCGCTCGCTGTTACTCACGTCTCCCTTCCTCTCGCCCTCCTGTTCATTGTGAATCTCCAGGAACATGTTTGACAAGCTGAACCGCGACGCCTTTCAGATAGTTTCTTATTTTCTGTTTCACACGCTCGACCCGGCTCTCACCAGAGAAGTTTTCAAGTAAGGCGAAATTGGTTTACTTTGGTGCCTTAGTTATCCTCACATTTAAAAATGGGTTGTGCTTTGACGTAGGCCAGATTTCAACCTCGGTCTTTTCACTCCTGTTTAGAAAGGATGCCACAAAATTCAGGTTTGACATTTAGTGTACTTGGGTGCGGCTTATTTTTTATTTTTTGGGACTTACCTTCAAATCAGTGTGTATTTTTTTTTTGGCAGCGGGAACCCAGCTCAGGACCTTGCACTTGCCAGGCGGGCGCTGTGCCACTGAGCTGTGTCCCTGGCCCTGTGTATTTCGTGGTTAATACATACTTACTTTCATAAAACTAGTTCTTTACGTTTCATGGTCTTAGTTAGACAAATCACGAAGTGATACCATTCTGCTTATATATTCAGCTTTGCCCTTTTTTACATTCCCCATGCTTTACTACTTTTCTTATAGGCAGTGTTATTTGTTTTACTTTACTCTCTGGTTCTTTGTAAATCTTTTTTTTTTCCTTCTTTTTCTGAAACAGAATTTTTCTGTGTAGATCAGGCTGGCCTTCAGCGCACACCGATCCTCCTAGTTCAGCCCTAGCTATAAATCTTTATTATCTGTTCAGTGATACATGTTAAAGTATCAGCTGCTATAGGCAAAAATCATTCCTACTAAATTTAGCCTGTTGTGTAGGCAATGAATATTAAAAAGTTTAAGAAGATAAAAATGTGAATACCCATTAGTCTTTGATCTAAGGCATTTTGGGTATGCTTTTGGATTTCTTCTGTCTGAAAAAATGTTCAAATAGTTTTGATGTTTATATTGTGCCAACAGACTTTCTATAGAAAAGCAACAGGGGCTGGGGATTTAGCACCTGCCTGGCAAGTGCAAGATCGTGAGTTTGATTCCTGGTACTGGAAGAAAAACAAAAACAAACAAACAAACAAACAAAAAAGAAAAGCAACAAATCTATTAATTCTTGATAATTTATTCTTTTTTTGTTTTTTGAGACAAGGTCTCACTATGTAGTCCAGGCGGTCCAGGCAGGGTCTTGCTAGGTAGTTCAGCAATCCTTCTGCTTCAGCCTCCTGAGTGCTGGGATTACAGGTGTGTGCCACCACACCTGGCTAAGTGGTGGTGACCTCAGCTAACCAGTAGTGTGGTCTTAATTAGACGAAGCTGACTCGGAGCCACCTGATAGTGGTCTCCACCAGCCGAGGTCTAGTGTTTTTGGCCCACGCTGAAGTGAAACTTTTCATATTTTCATATGTTGTTGTTTAGTCGTAAGTGCCCACAGAGCATGATGCAGATTATCTCTGAGTCACGCTATCATGCACTCTTTCTCTGCTTATGTATACTCAGTTATACCTTTCTCCTGCAAGATTTTTTTTTCAGGCTTACTCTATGAATGCATTTATGCTGTCTTTATGTGTTTGTCTAGTGGATCCATTGGGAGTGTTGTCTTTATTTTGTTTTCATTAATTTTAGTAGCTGTTCATTTCCACATTGAAGATACACATTCGTTAGTTATTTGCACTAAACTGAATTCAACCCCATAGATATTTATAAAGACCCAATTTTTCACACGTTAGTGTCCTCAGCTGCAACTTTAGAATGCTAACTTTAATCCATTGTGCTTTAATAGTTTTGCTGTAGGAAATAAATTTGATGTGTTTTTAAATTTTGTTGAGTTTCGTTTTTTTGTTTCATAAAACTATCACTTTTATTTTTATTTTTAAGGTTTTGTTGGCCTCCATATGACCAAAAGAGTGACACCGAATTCCGGAAACACTGCTGTGAATGGTTAAAAAAGATTTCTGTAGGTATTCTGTGTTTGGAAGATGCAGACTTTAAGACATTAACAATTATGTAATTTTTTTTTTTTTTTTTTTTTTTGAGACAGGGTCTTGCTGGGTAGTTCAGGCTGGCCTTGAACTGGATTATATAATCCAGGCTGGACTCAGACTCACAGTAATCCTACTGCCTCAGCCTCCTGAGTTCTGGCATGTGCCACCACGCCTGGCAGAAACTACATTAATTTTTTTTGTCTTTTTGAGACAGGGTCTTGCTGTGCATTTCAGGCTGCCCTTGAGCTCACTTTGTAGCCCCAGCTGGTATCAAACCTGCAAGGATCCTCCTGCCTCAGCCTCCTGAGTGCTGGGATTACAGGTGTGCACCACTACGCCTGGCAAATACCAGACTTTTTTTTTTCTGCTAGGCAGATGCTGTGCCGCTGAGCTATATACCTGGCTTTTTTCTTTTTATGGAGACAAGGTCTTGCTTTGTAGTTCAGGCTATCCTTGAACTCAAAGTAAAATGTTTTAATGCTTTTATACTAACAGAACATGCAAGGAAATAGTAATTGCTATAATAGTTTTTAGTGGTTTTGGCATGGGATTCTGTGTATTTCTAAGAAACAAGCTTTGCAGTCTATATTCATGGGAAATAGTTTCTATCAGTTTTTGTTTAAAGAATATCTTTTTTTTTTTTTTTTAATGCTAGGGATTGGTGAGCAACAAGACGAAAAAAACCACTAGGGGTTGGGGTTGAACCCAGGAATGCTTTGTCACTGAGCTTCATCTTCAGCCCTTCTTATTTTTTGAGACAGTCGTGCTAATTGCCTGGGATGGTTTTGAATTTGTAGTCTTTTTGCCTCTGCTTCTTAGTAGCTGGGATTGCAGGCGTGAACCACCATGCCTGGTTAAAGAATACTGTTTGAACACAGACTATTTCAGCTTGTTTCCTCCACTAAGCAGTATCTCTGGCTTTATTATTATGACTATCTATTGTGACCAGTTTCACCTAGAATTTAGAAAAGTCAATTCATCTGTGGTTCAAACAAAATAAATCTTTTTTTAAAAATCATATGCCCTCAGCTTGAACCACTGATGGTAACATGTGTGACTGTCCCGTCGTTGACTTGAACCATCCATGGTGCACGTGTGACTGTCCCATTGGGCGGCGTGGGGCTGTCATGCTGGTATAGCCTCATCATAAATGTGTTAAATACTTTGGTTACTGAACCCAGGGAGCGCTGAGCTGTATCTCTAGCCATTTCATTTTATTTTGTGGTCTTGCTAAGTTGCTCAGGCTGGCCTGAAACTTTGATCCTCCTCTCAGCCTCTTGAGTAGCTGGAATTGCGGGTATTTACCACCATGCCCAGCACAAACAAAGTGATTTTGATCAATCACTGTATGCTTAAGAAATAGTGTGATGTAAGGAAGGAGCAGACTGGGAGTGGTGGCTGGCCAAGGCTGCACCCTGTCTGCCCTTTCTGCTCTGCTGTGGGATTGAACATACCCAGCCGTGTCCAAGCGCTGGTGCCGTGCGGGTGTGCTGATGGTTGTGTGATAGTCGTGTGGTTGCTGCCCAGAGTGAGTGCTTGTGATGTGGGGTTTCACTGCAGATCCCTGACCCTGTGAAGAAGTAGCGTGACACTGAAGCGTGAGGAGTACTGTTGGCGAGGTTTTCACACCCTCCTGTCTCTCTAGGCGGAGTGTGACAGCTTTCCTCAGGTCGTGGGCTCGCTGTTTCTGTCTCCGGGTGGCCCCAAGTTTATCCATCTGATGTATCATTTTGCAAGATTTGTTGCGATAAAATACATTAAAGCCAATTCCAAAAGTAAGTAAAGTGGAACTTACGTTGATCCTTACATTGTTACTGTTCTTCACAACTTCAAAATTAAGAGATTTTAATGAAGCTACATATATTAAGACATTAATTTACCTTAGCAAAAAGTACTTTATTAGAACTGTAGTTTGAAATCACCTAATAACCTGTTACCATTTGTTGTTTTATTATGTTCTAGTACAGGTATAGGAAATACTTTCCATAGAAGGCCATACAAGATAATAAAATATTTTAGGTCTCTGACACATTTCTCTTTGTTTTTACAATGTTTTGCAAATGTAGAAACCATTCCTACCTTGCTGAACCTAGAAATTCAGCCATTGGTTCACTCAGGACTGCAGATTATTTGACCTAATGCAGTGTTAAATTGTGATTTATTTTGTTTGTTTGTTTGTTTTTGGTTTTGTCTTTTTGAGACAGGGTCTCACTGTGCAGTTCAGGCTGGCCTTGAGCTCACTTTGTAGCCCAGGCTGGTCTCGAACTCGCAAGGATCCTCCTGCCTCAGCCTCCTGAGTGCTGGGGTTACAGGTGTGTGCCACCATGCCTGGTAGTGATTTGTATTGGTTACTGGCAGTGTGTTGGAAATTCCTGTTTTCTGAAGGACTTGATTGATTTATTATTATTTGATTTGTTTATTGATTTATTCATAGAAACAAAACAGTTGGAGTTTTACAGGTAATACTTAAAAGCGTGCTATATATATAGTTTATTAAACATGCTACTCTGTTTAATTGGGTTTTGCTCGTAAATCATGGAAAGGAATATAGCAGGGAAGTTGAGATACTAAGCTTTATCTTCTGATTTCCTGAAACTACCATTGCTGTTTCGTCTATTTCCTTTTAGTGGTTTTTTAATGCACATATTGCACATTTATGTATGTATGTGTCTATTGCTGTGCTGGTGTTGGACCCATGGCTTAGAAGATGCCAGACAGGCATTCTACCACAGAGCTACGCCTCAGCCACTTATGAATAGGTAGTACATTCTTTTAGCTCAAAAATCAGAAGATCAGAGGAGGAGAAATCTGACTTCCATCTCTATTATCTGTATTGTTTCCTTTGTGCTATTATTATTATTATTATTATTTTTATTTTTATTTTTTTTTTGAGACAGGGTTTCACTATGCAGTTCAGGCTGGTACTCACTTTGTAGCCCAGGGTGGCCTTGAACTCATGGCAATCCTCCTGCCTCAGCCTCTGTTTTTTGGGGTGGGGATATCTTTTTGAGACAGGATTTCACTATACAATTTAGGCCGGCCTTGACCTCACTTTGTAGCCTAGGTTGGCCTCGGACTCGCAGTGATCCTCCTGCCTCAGCCTCGTGAGTGCTGGGATTACAGGCATAGGCCACCATGACCAGCTTGTTTTCTTTATAGATGGAACAGTGTAATCCATAATATGAGCAAATATTATATATACATTCTTTTATTTCTTTCCTTTTTGTGGTCTTTGCGATTGAACCCAGGAGCAGTGAGCTGCATTCCCAGCCCTTGCCGAGGTTCTTACTAATCACTGTGTTGCCCAGATTGGCCTTGTACTTTTCTTTTTTTTTGGTACCGGGAATCAAACTCAGGACCTTGTGCTTGCCAGGCAAACACCTATGCCAGTGAGCTGTCTCCCCAGCCCTAGGCCCTCCTACTTATGATCCTCTTCAGCTTCAGCTTCCCAAAAAGCTAGATTTACAGGTGTGACCACTGTACCTGACCTACTTCTTTTTTAAAAATGCAGTTGAAGGGGGCCGGGGATTTATCTCAGCGGCACAGTGCCTGCCTGGCAAGCGCAAGGCCGTGAGTTCGATTCCTGGTACCGAAAAAAAAACAAAAAAAAAACAAAAAAAAAAACAGCAGTTGCAGTCTAAATCTGGCTTTGGATCTTTCAAGTTAGTAGCATATCCTGGAGTTCACCTCACATCAGTTCACAGAGCTTCTTGATTCTCACTTCTCTTTGTTTGAACTGCTTAATATTATACTAAATGGGTACCCCATAATTTATCAATCTTCTACTAACAGATTTTTGGTGTACTTTCCTCCAATGTTCGGCTATAAAAACAATATCAGAGTGCAAATTTTTCTTTTTTTGGTGGTAGGAATTGAACTTAGGACCTCACACTTGCCAGGCAGGTGCTATACCGCTGAGCTATATCCCTGGCCCTACAGAGCAAATTAAAAAAATTTTTTTTTTGTAGACAAAGTCTTCTTACAGACTGGCTTTGAACTTACTATATATTTCAGGCTGGCTTTGAACTCTGCGTGATCCTCCTGCCTCAGCCTCCCAAGTGCTGGGATTACAAGCATGTGTCACCATGCCTGGTGTTACAGTGTAAATTTATACATGTCAGTTTTGTGTTCAGATATGTGTATATACATAAGTAATTCCTAAAAGATATTTTTCTTGACCAAAGGAACTATGTAGCTGTAATTTGCTAGTTGTTACCAGATTATTTTCTGTAGAGATTAGTCAGTTTATACTTCCATTATCAGTGTATGGGGAGTATCTATGTTCCCAAAGGCATTTCAGCATAGTTTTGATGAGGAATTTAAATGGATCTCAGTGTAGTTTAAAATTTTTTAAAGTTTTGCAAAACTTTTTATTTAAAGAAATTATGCAGGAACTGGGCATGGTGGCGCATGCCTGTAATCCCAGCACTTGGGAGGCTGAGGCAGGAGGATTGCTGTGAGCTGGAGGCCTGTTTGGGCCACGTAGTGAGTTTGAGGCTGGCCTGGATTACAGAGCGAGACCCTGTCTCAAAAAAAAGCCAAACAAAAAATACTTTGCACATTAATTTTAGATGTACAGAAAGTTGCAAGATGTGTAGCGTTCCAGCATGTCCTTCAACTTGGTTCCCCTAATGTCCACACCTTACGTAACCACGGAACGTTCATTAACGTGAAGTAATTCACACTTTATAATACCGTTGAATAATTCAGGTTTCTTGTTTTTTGTTTGTTTTTTGAGGGAAGGTTTTGCAATGTAGTGCCATTGGGCCTTGAACTCACTGTATAACCCAGACCGGCCTTGAAGGTGTGGGGATCCTTCAGCCTCAGTCTCCCCAAGTACTGGGAGAGCACTGAGATTACGGACATGTCCTACTGTGCCTGATTTGGTTTTCCAGTTTTTGACTGTTTTTCTGTCCCAGGTTCTGTATTGCATTTAGTTCATTTTTTGAGAAAACATTGTAAACCTTTTTCTAGATACAGTTTTGATTAGTGTTTCTTATGTTATTACTTAATACAGTTGGACACTGCTTCATGTTTAAGAGCAGTCTGCTGTTCTGTGTTCTGTGCTTGTGTCCTTTTTCAGTTTTTCCTAAGTTACTCTGTTTTTCTTATTTGTGGAAACAGTTATGTTTTGCCCCTTTTCTGGTACTTTTTTTTTTTTTGTCTTTTTGAGACAGGGTCTCGCTGTGCAGCTCAGGCTGGCCTTGAGCTCACTTTGTAGGCCAGGCTGGTCACGAACTCACAATGATCCTCCTGCCTCAGCCTCCCAAGTGCTAGGACTACAGGTGTGCGTCACCATGCCTGGCTTACCCCTTTTCTGTAATGTGTGACATTTTTTCCCAATTTATCTTCTGTGCCTGATTTTTGAAAACATGTATGTGACCCTTTATAAAGGATTGTTGCGAGTTCGTGACCAGCCTGGCCTACAAAGTGAGCTCAAGGCCAGTCTGAACTGCACAAGGAGACCCTGCCTCAAAAAGCCAAAAGAAATAAAAAAACTTAATGTAATGTAAGCATTTTGGTAGTTTAAAAATTAATATATGATCTGCTGCAGTTACATGTAACCAGAAGTATTTTATGTGAATTATATGTGTATAGATTTAACAGAGATTTATTGTAAGACTTCTCTGCATGGATTATCCTTTTTTTTTTTTTGAGACGGTCAAACTGTGTAGTTCAGGGTGAACTCACTAGATAGCCCAGGCTGTCCTTGAACTCATGGTGATCCTCCTGCCTCAGCCTCCTGAGTGCTGAGATTACAGGCGTGCACTACCACGCCTGCCCTTTTTTTTTGAGACAGGGTCTTGCTGCTGTGTAGTTCACAGCCTCGAACTCACTATGTAGCAGCAGTTGGCCTTGAGCTAGTGGTGATCCTCTTGTCTTGGCCTCCCAAGTGCTGGGATTACAGGTGTGCACCACTGTGCTCAGCCCTATTTCTGATTTAAAGCAATTCCAGGCAACATGTTCAGTCTCCGCAGAACTATTAATTCAGTGAACTCATTGTGAACTCCTTAACAGGAGTTAAGTATTTTGAAGTTGTGGTGATTTCTTTGTGATATGCTACAATGTGGATTAATAATGTTAAGTGCAGTGTGGAGTCCTTGCTTTCTAGAATACCCATACCTTTATTGTTCTGAGCAGTGTTAAAGACATGTTTACTACAAATAAAAACCTAAGACTGAAACATTTGTATGGGTTGTTCTCAAGGTCTAGTTTGGTCATTAGTAAGAAAGGCAAGAATTACTTGAAAAATGGGGGATGGCTTTATTCAGTTGTCTTATGCTCTTGGATTTACTAGGAGGAAAAGTTAAGCTGATGGTGTAATGAAGGTGATTTGATTTCACCTTTTTCTCTTATATTGGGGACTGAATGCTGGTGTCAAACCTTGAGCAGGTTTATTCCCAGACATTTTTTCATGTTATTTTGAGACAGGATCTTTTTAATTATTTATTTATTTACTTACTATTATTATTATCATTATTATTAATTTGTCTTTTTGAGACAGGGTCTTGTTGGGTAGTTCAGGCTGGTCTTGAACTCACTATATAGCCCAGGCTGGCCTTGAGCTTGCAGTGGTCCTCCTGCCTCAGCCTCCTGAGCTACCATGTCCAGTGAGACAGGATCTTTCTGAATTGTTTAGATTGGTTTTAAACTTGGGATCTTTCCCCAAACCTTTTGAATGGTTGGGAGTACAAACATGTGCCACTGCCCCCAGCTGAAAGTTTTAATTATGTGAAACAATTCAACTTCGGATACCTTTTTTCTTTTTTTTGAGGAGCAGAATATATTTATTGAGGGAAGGAAAGCTTCTGTCCAAGAGAGGGACAGAAGAGGGCCCGAGTGGGTTGCCCCTCGGATATCCTTTTTAGTTGCCTTATTTTAAGAAGTCATCTT